AAGTTAAGGTGGTGATGTTCCTGGAAAAATGGGAACTCAGAATATCTGACCACACCCCCTAAAAAAAAAAAAAAAAAAAAAAAAGTGATGTCTGCTCCATATTAGGTGCACACTATGTAGTGAGGGTTTTGCTCTCTTCCCTGGGTGGAGCTCAGCTCTCAGTATTTAAGGTTCAGCTGCCACCCTACCCTCACCAGGAGAAGGATAAAACAAGTCAGGAACCAAACAGCTCCTTTCTGGATCAAGGCTCACCTTGCCTTCTCCTGCCCTCTGGAGCCACTGTTGCTTATTCTCTCGCCTCTCAGGCTTTGGTCCTGCCTCCTTTTATCTACAAGGTTGAGCCCAATGCCTTGTATCCCAGTGGCATATCTGAACACCAACCTAGCATCTACCTATCTCTATCCTTTCATGGTTCTAACTCTACCTGCATTAACTTAGAACTGCTCTCATGCACCTGGCCTGAAAACCTGCCAGACTCTTCCTGCTTCCATAGTTCCCTGTTCCAGATTCTTCTTGTGGACCCCTCCTAGGTCCACAATGGTTAATGCTACTGAGCTTGGAGCAACAGCCCACCCTTCAGGCAAGGGATCTGGAAATTATTACATTCTGAGCCCAGCAAGCATCAGTCCAACACTCAGATGAGGGAGGCCAGCATCATGTGAGGTGCTTTCAGATGGACCCTAGAAATGCAGCAGAAGAGCAATTATTCCCTTAGACAAAGTCTAGTAGACCCACCCTCAGTTCTAGTAAACCCACCTCAAAACCATATTCTAGCTTTAAAGAAGGTCCTGAAAAAGACAAAGGAAATGTAGGGGAAATCTGAAAGGGGTGGAAGTCGTCAAGGCAGAATGCTGGAAAGGACTTGGTCACTACCAAAGGTTGGACAGAAAGAGAGGGACCTGTAGTTTGTGTTCCTTTCCTAACGTTGATATGCTCTGAAAGGCTTCCTCTCTTTAGAATGCACTTTCCCCATCTGGACAGTAAAGCAGGCGGGACTAGCGTACAAACCCAGATGGGTTTCAGATTCTTTAGGAGGCTTTTTACATAATGAAATTGCCTTCCCATCTCCACCCAGCTCTACTGAATCTGGATCTGCAGGGCCCTGAAATCTGTATTTTAAGGGTTCTCAGGTAGTTTGGGAAACTGGATTCAGAGATCACCAAAGTCCCACCTTGCCATGACATTCTGTGATGTCTATGAGATTCCAGACAGAATGGACAAAGGAAACCATAGGGATGAAGCTTGAGCAAGACAAGCCCAGACTTGAGAAGCCATCCAGCCCTCGCACAATGGCCCCAAACTCAGAAACGCCATACCTTCAGGAGAGGATGCTTGGGGGAAATAAATTAATTCCAAACCACACTGGGCAGATTTATGGAGGTCAGAGCCATCCGACGGAGCAGGGAGGACCACCATGTCTTGAAGGCTACTGGGAGCAACAAATTCTAGCTGACTGAATCAGTTCTGACCTGGGGTGGGCAACTCCTCTGTTTCCATGGAGTCCACTTTAGGACGAGTTTCCTCTCTAGACTTTTTTTCTGAAACCGCTGAAAATAAAAACAATATTTTGTGTATAGAAACCACCTGAAACTAAGATATACCCACTGAATGGGGAAAATACTGGCCCCTTTATTGAGAAATGGTTCTAGAGTCCCACCTGTTTTGGAATGGAGAACATCGATCTTGAGATTGGTATCTGCTTCCCACCCAATGGGAAGTTGAACGTGATATTATGTATTTATAAAAGCATACTCATTATGCATGTCTAATGCTGACGTGGTTCTGTGTACTTTGCTTAGATCGTTATTTACTTCTCACAGGAAGTCTAAGTAGTAGGTATTATAATCTCCATTAGGATCAGAAAACTGAGGCCCAGAGTTCTATCATCTGCCCAGTTCTCACAGCTGGTCAGGAGTGGGAATACCTCCCCGCTGAGATTAAAGCCCATGCCCTTCTTCCTGCATCACCAAAGGTTCTATCTGGCCAAGAAGAAGCAGCCCAGCCTGTCTGGGAATGTCTCAATACCTTCACAGCAGACACCCAATCTCCAGAACGATGCTGCACACTCCATAAAGGAAGGGCTCTAGAACCATTTCTCCATGATCACCCAGGCCAAAGTGAGACATGGGTCCCACCAAAGTTGAGGTGCTCAGGTGGGGTGCTGAGCCTATACTTCAGCTTTTTTCCCAGGCGCACTCTTAAGAAAAAAATTATGAAGTTTTATGTTTGTTTTGGGGGGTATTTTCAGGGCTGAATTAACTAAATGAACCACCAGGCTTTTGCCTCCACATTGATGAGACTTCCCCCGAACTCAGGTTGCTTGCTGTAGGCACAGACTAGGTCTACAGGGTAGGTTCCAAGGAGCTAGAGGTAATAGGAGGAACGGATTTTTCAACCCCCTTTCTGAGCTTTTCTTTTTCTCCCTTCCTCCATCCTCATCCCTGTCCCACTGAGTTTAAATTCCCAGGTGCTGCCGGCTCCGGATCCATATTCACAGAAACTCTCCAGGCCACATCTCCCCGGTTAGGGACAGTACCAGCCTTGAGTACGAGGCGCGAGTCCTGGCTCACTGACAGTTTTAGAGTTTAGGACTTTACGACTACCTTTCATCCATATGACAATTCAGCCTCTTCTGCAGACAAAAGAACTCGGCCATGGTCCCACAGTCAGTCATTGCTGAGGCTGTCCCCAAACCTAGGTGTTCTTTTGATTTGAAAGCCCATGTCTTTCTGCTTCACCCCTCTGGCATGGCCTACATTTGTATTTTGAACACTGAGCAGGTAAAAGGGCAACTGGCCAAATAACTCTGCTCGAATGTCTTCTGTAAAGAGTTAGTCCTTTGAATTAATACGTTTTCCTCCATTATAATACAAATAAATCAGAAAATTAGCAATCAGCCATTTACACCAAAGTGAGTGGATTCGTCACCTTCTAGTCCTTGACATGACCTTCAGAAACCAAGTAGAAATCAACTTTTTTATCTGAGAAAAGTAAGCCTAGGAAACCAGCAGTTAGCGTAATGGCTATGTCGCTGGACTCCCACGTAGTCGACCGCGGTTTGCGTCCTGGACCCGGTGGCTTGAAACTCACGCCAGGCACGTGTGCGTGCGTGCCCGGGATCCCGAGAGGAGAATGGAGGAAAAGGGATTGCGGCGTGACCATCCCCCCTGGGGGGTGATTTCTCACTTTCTGTCTCTATGTCTCTCTCTGTCTGTCTGGCTAGCGCACGCACCCTATTAGTGAAAATCTCTCAAAAAAAAAAAAAAAAAAAGTAAGCCTAGAAAAGTATTGAGTAGGCAGTGTTGAATCACCATGTGCTGTGGAACCTAACCAGAACTTTTGTCTCCTGACCTCGGCTCCAGGGCAGGGTCACAAAACCCCACCAGAACTGGCCCAGTTTTGAGATTATCAAACCTACCCAGTGTTATCTCAATCTGTTGTTTATAACTGGCAACTGAAATTAACCTCTTATATTTGCATCATTAAATTAGTTTCAAATCTTCAAAAAGTTTTCACTTTAATGTCTTAGTGAACAAAGCTATGTGCACCCAAATTAATTTTCCATCGTTTTCTGTAGGCAATATTCAGTTTAAGCTCTCTTTAAAGAGAAATAATTTCTGTAATCTGGTAATGAGATTTTAGTATTTTAAGTAAAAGTAATTTATCGAGAACACACATTTTTTATAAGTTTTTATAGGCTGTAAAAATGTTAGAATTCTGGCCAACATGAGATCTGACAACTCCCCTAGGTAGGGCCTGGCTCAAAGATAGCAAGTGTGACAGGAAATGGCCCAGTGGGAGTGGGGGTCAGGGTGTGCTGGGCATCCCTGTGACGCCCCCTGAAGACCACGTAAGGCACTGGGTGAGGACACAGAGCACCAGGAAGTAGATTAGGGACTGGGAAAAGGAGGGGCGTGCACCCAAACAAATTTAACTGTTTTCTATTTCTGATACTCACCATTGCCTAGTGGGCCAGAAAGCTGCTACTGCATTTCCAAACACAAGTTGGTAGTAATAAGGAGACCAAGCCCAGCCCTGTGGAGGGCGAGTAGGGGGTGCCTGACAGACAAAGCTGAGGCCGATGTGTGAACCCACACCTACATTGCCCAGTCCTGGGCCTATGGGGGAGCCTTCAGCTGATACTGCATCCAGTTTACTCTCTCAGACTTCTCCACACTAAGCAGTTCCTCTATGTAGGTTCCCACCTTTGGGGGACAGATTAGCGCCAGTCACAGTAGCACAGATTGAGCACCTGCTGTTTGCCCAGCCCTGTGCTAGACTTGGAGAAACCTAGAGAAGACCCAGCTCCTGCCTGTGCCTGTCCCACCTTTCTCAGCCTCCTCAGAACTCTCAAAGCTCCATGTTAACTGGAACCACCTCTGGTTTTGCCCTTACTATCCCATATTGTGGTTGGCTGCATCACTCTTAGTAGGCTGTGAACTTCTCAAGGTCAGGGTCCCAGTCTGCTCCATCTTTGTCTGTCCCCTGGTACCCCGCCCATGGTCTAGAGCACAGTAGGTTCTCAACAGAAGTTTCTGACTGGAAAGGTGGATCAGTTTTCTTGCCCTGCTTGACCTGACCTTGGTGCCATCTTGAGCATGGGTTTGGAGATTTGGAGCAAAGCCTGGGAGGAGCCTAGAAAGGCCCATGGAGAAGGGAGGGCCAGGCCAGTGAATGACTGCCTCTCCTCTTCTGCTGCAGTTCACTGGCTGTTCACCACATGTGGGGCCAGCGGGCCCCATGGTCCCACGCAGGCCCAGTGCAACAACGCCTACCAGAACTCCAACCTGAGCGTGGTGGTGGGCAGCGAGGGCCCCCTGAAGGGCATTCAGATCTGGAAGGTGCCAGCCACCAACACCTACAGGTGCGTATGGGGCAGGGGACGTCCAAAGGGTGGACCTGCCCTCCTGAGGAGGACTGGAACCCTGCCTGTGGGTGCATGCCTCCAGCAGCCTGAGCATGCCAATGTTCAAGGGCCACAAACTCCAGCCCATAGTAAGGTGTTAGGGCTGGAGGTGGGGAGATCTGGGATAAAAGAATATGGCAACAAAGGAAGATGTGTCCTTTGTCACAAGGAGTTCACAGACACTATGGAGATAATATGCATGCCTGAGCTGGCTTCAGAATTATTAGTAATAATTATAGTTATGGTAGAATGTTCTTTGAATATTGCTTAATGCTCTTCAGATCAGGCAGTGCATGTAAACATGTTTAGGAAAAAAAGGTTGATGCACCTGAAAACTGATGTTCTTATCCTTGAACCTCCTTTCCTGGGAGATTCCTATTGTAGACTGCTTATTCCATCTGCAGCCCCAACTTGACAGTATCCATTGGAGCAAGGCCCAGCAGGAGGGAGGCCTAATCCACAGTCACTTCGAGACCATGGCACTAAGCTAAGGGAGCAAAAGGACTAGAATCCTGAGTGAGACCCAGACTGCAGGCCCCCATGCCCAGAGTGTCTGTTTCTGCAGGTCTGGACTGGGGCTTGAGAATCCGAATGACTTGCCAGTTCTCAGGAGCTACAGATGCAACCTTTGAGAACCATGGAGTCGAATCAAACCTTGGATTTAGACAATGTCTCTAGTCCCCATGAAAGCTCCATGACTAGGCAAGGCCAGGGCTGCAATCTCTACTTTACAAACCAGAACACTGAGGCTCAGAGAGTCAGGAACCTCCCCACAGTCACGCAATCCGACTCCAGACTCCTGAGGCACTGACTCACTGCAGTGCCTTCTAGGGAGCCCCAGCACGCAGGCCCCTCCCTGGTGCAGGCTGACCTGCAATCCCTCCCCTCCCATGGCACCAACCCCCACCACATCCACAGCCCCAGAAGGAAAGGGGTTGCTCTGTTACCTTGTTTCCTCTCCTGCTTAGCACGTCCTGTGGCAGCCCCGTCCTTGGGGCTTGGGTAAATGTTTTAAAGGGAGAGTCCTAAATGCTTTCTAAATGATGTGCTGGACAGGAATGCGATAACAAGGTTTGGCTGCAATCAGATTAGCTGCTCTAGGCCCCACACATCCTCCATTAATGTCCCAAGATACCTGGCCACCCCTGGCCTGCCACACCCAGCAGACCAAATCCCTGGGGTACCAGGACAGGGACAAAGGACCTCTGGAGAGAAGGGGATGAATGTTTGCTGAAGACCCACCCACCAGGGACTCCTGCTTCTAGGAATGGAGTATGTGGCATGGTTATTGTTACTGATATTTCTGTGTTTTCATGTAAGGAAACTGGAGCCAGCGAAGCTCAGCAGCAGATCTGAGGCTGCACGAGCAGTGTCAGGGCCGGGATTTAAACCAGGGCCCTCAGCTCACAGCTGTGCTCTTTCCACGGAAGCCCACACCTAGAGGCTGGGAGGCACGCAGAGGGCAGGAGGGACGGAGGAGGAGGTGGATATAGGAGCTGTCCACCACCCACCTCCAGGAAGCCTCTGGAAATAAGAGCAGGATGGGGGGAAGAGGGGAGGAAGAACTATAGCCCACGTACAAAAAGAAATATGAAGGCTGTGAGGTAGATGGGGACCCCAAAAGTAAGTGCCCAACAAAGTTCATTGTTCCATCCCCCTGCCCAGGGCAACTCCAAAGCCAAATTGGCCAGAACGTCCCTGCTGCCCCCACAGACATAGACAGGTGACACCTCATATGGGAGTCCTTTCAGGCTGCACCCCACCCCCACCCCAACACCACATGAACCAGGCCCACTGCCAAATCTGCACAGGTTATTCGGTATCTGCAGTCTCTGTTTCTCCATCTATAAGAGGCAGGGGGTGCTGACACCTACTCAGCTGCTTGTGAAGATGGCCTAGAGCTTAGCACAATGCAGGCGTGTGGCAGGTGCCCCTGGCCTGGGGCAGAAACCCGCTGGAACAACAGCACCAGCAGGCAATGGTCAGGAACAGGCCCATCCCATGGGCTGGAGTCCTGACTTTTCTGTTTCCAAAGACTTTTTTTTAACTCCCTCAGATGGGCCCTATGTTTCAAAGGATTTGGCCTGGCAGACAAAGCACTCTCATGAAATAATCATTCAGTCATGCCCCCATGTATTATTAATCACAGCCAAATCTAAGCCCGGTCAGGGTTCTGAGCGGCATAAAGTGCCCAGTATTGCCACACTGTGTTGGTGTAATTCCAGCCAGAATTGGAGAGCTCCTCAGACTCTCTTGTAGCCACAAGCATTGCCTGGGGGAAGCCTCCATAGAAACATTTGCAAGGAACAGTTTGTCTGTTGAAGTCGGACACTTTGAAGGGTCCAAATTAGCAAAGGGGACACCATGATCTGGTCTAAACAGCGCCATATTGAAAAGGTAGGCTCAAAACCAAAAAACACTGGGTGTGGATTTTTGACATTGTTGCTGACCAAATGAAGACTCTCACAGATATTCTCAGCCTTACCTCATCTTTGACCCTGTGTGAGACATGAAGCTTGGATGACAGTATCTATTGATCTCAAAGGCACAATGATTTGCTTTTTAGACCACATCAAAATAGCCCCAGGGTAGAAGATCCATGATGGGAAGTTGGGTGCCCTTTTTCTGAAAGACTTTTATTCAAAGTAATGATCATTATGTAGGTAGTACAATTCATCCAGTGAGAAAACCATGAGAACACCAGAGGAGGTGAGCAAAGGTCCTAAGATATAGAAGGTGGGAGCCCCTGCCCGGGGACCTTGGACAGGGCATTTCCTGGGAGGGTGTCCCACTGGGTTAGCAATTTCTGGCTGCCCCCATGGCCCGGTGTTGTGATTTCCCCATGACTTCTCTGCCTTGGTTGGGGGCGTGAAGGGAGGGGAGCTGACACCTCCTGAGCACCTACTACATGCCAGTGTGGGTCACCACTGCCTGAGGCTCCCTCAGGGATGTACGCAGATGGAAGCACCCCTGCCCCTACTCTGAACTGAGAACTTATCCTGGGCCCATCTCCCGCTCTCCGCTCCTTTGCCCACTGCCACAAACAAAGAGGCCCAGAAAGGGAGAGGGCGAAGGGGCCGGGAGGAGACAACCAGCTGGCACAGAGGCTCACGTGCACCCCCTGAACCCCTATCTGCTCTCACTACTCTCCCTGCCCTGGATTTGCCACTTCCTCTGTCAGAGCAGTGGAAGGGGATGTAGTCACTACCTCCAGGTCATGTGTCCTGGTGGCCAGACTTCCCCTCCTGCTTTGCAAATCTCAGTAAACCACATGTGGCACCTACTAGGACACTGCGCCTGACACCACGTCTACAAAAGTGAGGAGCAGGCCCTGCCTGAGGGCAGCTGCAGCCTGTGCGGGTGGCAGGTCCGCGTGCAAGCACTGCTGTGTGACAGAGGAGCGGAAATGGAGGTTTCCCTAGGATCCTGCATTCAGAGGCCAGGGGAAGGCCTTCTCCCTGAGTTCATGAGTGGAAACGGAAACCAGAGTTATGTCTGAGGTGCTGAGAGTCATCCACAGGCAGCAGGGAGAGACTTCACGGGGGAAGGAGGACGGAGGCCTGGGCTGCTGCGGGCAACAGAAGTTCGTGCCGCCTGAGTCCTGGGGCCGGCCGGCTGGTAGGAGTCAGTACCTAGGCCTCAGGCCAGATTGGGGGCTGCAGCCTCGCCTCTCAAATGCCTCTGGCTCCCTCTGGTGACGGCCTGAGGGTGGGAGTGAGAGAAACCACAGACAGAAGGCAGTGGCCTCAGCTAGAGAAGAGTCAGAGAAGAGGAAATATGGATAGAGAGGCGGGGCCAGGCCCACAGGTGTTTGAGAGGTAGGACCAGCATGGCCCGAGGACTGGGGGTACCCAGGCTAGAGAAGCAAGGACCGAGATGCTCGCTTGATTGAGAAGGAGAGGAAGGTTAGGGTGCCATCGAGAGGGGCTCCTGATTACGGGGAGTTCCGGGCCATGGTTCCGAGTGACAGTGTCTAGAGTGTGCCCATGGGGCAGGGGGCCCAAAGAGGATAGCAGGCCAGTACAGTGCCACAGACTGTGGGGTATGTGCCGGGGGAGGAGGGAGGAGATCCCAGGAACTTCATAAAATGGAGACAGATAATGACAGAGCCCGCTCTGAGGACTGTCAGAGAATTCAGAGAGATTGGGGGTGCTGTACCCCCCACAGAGGTTTCCAGCACTCAGCAGGTATCACCTGCCACCTCTCACTCTTCCTGGCTTTCTTCCTTTTTTATCCTTCTCCCTCCCTCCCTCCAGTCTGCCTGCCTGCCTTTCTACCTCTCCTGGGTTCAGATCCCCCTCGGCCCTCAGCCCTCAGCCCTCAGCCCACCCTTGCACCCCAGACACAGAGGATCACACATGGAAACATTTGTCAGGCACGGCCCACAGTGCCGGATGGCAGCTCTCACACGATTCACTCGCTCTTCAGACATGCAGCATAAGAGGCCCCAGATCCCAGCTGGAGCCAGATGACCCGAGCCGCAGCTGTTCCTGACAGTCTCCGTCAATGGCGCTCAATGCCTCACCTGGCTCCAGGACCAGCGTGTGCAGCTGGAGGACACCCTCATTCAACTCAGTCCACAAGCAGCCACCAGGCCCCTGCCATGTGCCGGCACCACACCACGGAGCCCCACTGTGTGCTGGGCCCTGATTCAGTGCTATAGGACTTGCAGAGAGGTTATGAACCCTCCCAGCCTCTGGAAAGATCACAGGGCAGAAGATTCATTAATGGTCCACGCTGCCAATCAAGTTCTAGACAATAGCAGGAGAAGTGTCATGAGGCATGATTGATTGCCAAAGTAACTGTAGGTAGACAGCCATTGCTCTAAAGGGCACAGACCGGGGAGCGTCAAAGGCAGCAGGACTAGGCAGAGATGGATGGGCTGCAGGTGGAATGGAATTTGGGCACAACTCCTGCCACTGACATGCCACATGACCTTCCCTCCTCTCCGGTGGCTC